CTTAGGGTGTGCGCAGAAGCCCAGCGGGGGGAGTGGCTGGGAGTCCCCGCCCCTTCCCCCACCCCACCCGGCTTTTGCACGTGACCACAGGGCCCCGCCTCCAAGTCACTGCCCCGCCCCCGCCCAGTTTCAGCCTGGCACCCAGCCGGAAATTCAGAAAATACCGGACATTGCACATGTCCGGTATTTTCTGAATTTTTCTACCCAACAGAGGGCTCTAATACCGGACTGTCCGGTAGAAAACTGGACACCTGGCAACCCTAACAGCGAGGCAGGTGGAAGAGGCTCTTGCCCCAGCAGGTGATACCCCAGCCACTGGAGTGATTTTACGCTTACATAACTCAGCCACATTTCTTTTTTGCTCCTGCCCAAAATACCCATATCCAGCCAGTGACAGAGACCCGTACTCCTACCTGTATGTTTGGGTTCTGGGCATTCAGGTCAACGCTGGCCAACCCTGGCAGGTTCTGTAAATCCAGCACAAAGGGTGTGCTCTCCTCGCTAGCAGTGCCAGGCTGGAGCGGCATTGGTTGGTTCCTCCCTGCTCGCTGGGACAACCATCGGCGTTTGTGCCGGCGAGGCCCAGCCTGCCCACTTCTCCTCAGGCTCCGAACCTTGTTAGCCTGCGGCATCTCCTCTTCCTGCGTCAGACGGGTGTCAGATGAAGTGGAGACCTGGCAATGAAAGAGGCAGCAATAGCAGTTCCAATCCCACCGTGACCATCTCCAGAGCTACCATTCAGGGCTCCCTGCACTTCACCCTCCTGCCAGGGACAGGGCCAAAGAGCAGACAAACAACTGCCTGCAAAAGCCAAGGAACAGGTCCCTGAAATATGCCTACTATCAACAAATGCAAGGCTGATCGACATACTAGCTCCGTATTCCTTTGAGTGTGGACTGACACACCAAACATGTCATGCAAGCAAAGAGCACACTGACTGCCACATTAGAGCTGTCCACTGGCTTGTCTATTCCACTATCCACATCCCCTCTTAACACCAAATCAAAACAACTGCCCACCTACCCCAATATCCCTGGTGCACCAGAGTGGATCAATGTCTCTATTATGTCTCATGTTTCCCTGCTTTCTGCCACAGAAGAAACCAGTCCAATATTAGCACCTCTCTGCTAGAACAGTGTCCCATCTAATCTGGCATTTTGATTTCCCTGCTCATATCACACCAGTCTGTTCATCCACCTTGTCTGGAATCCTCATTTCTGCCAGTGGCTGAGACCATATTCCTTGGAGGAAGGACAAAAATGCACCTGCCAGCTGTTCAATATTTTACATAGAAGGAAAATTACAAAACACCCTCCCACTAAGATTAGCCTCTGCAAACAATGAATTTTCACCCCATGGCATGAGATGTGATAACTTCTGTCTGGAAAGTGATAAATGCAAAGATTATGAATGGTCACAGAGTCACCCCACCCAACACTCACAGGCAGTGAATTAAACAGAGAGGGAACTTTTCAAGGATACTCATGTATAAATTATTTATTCGTATCTGAGAAAACAACTTATTTGAAGTTGATCCAGTAGAAGACATTACCTTGCACCCGCTTTGTCTCTAGGACCTCTTGAACGAATCATCTACTACGGGCCAACAGGAAAAGAAACTGCTAAAGTTGAATAGTTGCATTTTGTATTATTATAGGAAACAGATAACGTATGGTTAGCCTCAAGCAGTGTGTTAACTGACCTGCTCTTACTCTGTGGACATTTGTTTCCATTCTGAGGCATGCAGTGTTTTGCTTGCCTTTGCATTCCCACTCTGGTCCGGGAGCTGCAGCAAGCAACGTTTCACACTGATGCCATCTTCCGGGATGCCCGATTCTCAAGAGGCTTCCAGACCAGGATGGGTTAAGAGTGGATTTGGAAACAAACAGGATCAACTCCTCCAAATGAAACCACTTGCGCCAGTTTCCCACGTCACTAACCTCTGTGCTTGACACACACTGGGATTAAAGGGTGCAAATCAAAGGGATTGCAAGCTTCAGTGCATCAGAGAAATCGGAGATGGGAAAAACATGTCAAGCTCTCTGCATCCCAGCCCTCACGCGACCCATGCAGGGTTCCCTACAGGAGAGTCTCCAGTGATCTAGGATTTAACTTTCCAACCTCTGTGCCTTCCACCCTGCCTGATTCCCCAACCTCATGCATCTCACAGGTAGCAGGCATTTCCTGATGCCCAACCCAAATTCCTCTTTGTTCCCAGCTTCCCTGGCACCACTAGACCCTTCTTTCCCCTCCATGAGCCCAGGCTGGATTAAGGAAGAGGGAGAAACTCCCCTCCCTACCAGGGAGACAGAACACTTTTACCTGCAATTAGGGCCAGATGGTTTGGGGAAGGACTGCTCTCCCTTTCATCCTGATCACTGGAGCACTTCAAAGGGAGCTGGAGCAGGGCCAGGCTCACATGAGCCTATATACAGCATGTCAGCCAGGCCTGTTCCTGCACATCAAAGGCCTGCTGCCTGTCTCCCCCTCCCCCAGGGAAAGAAGGGAGCAGCAGGGACACTGTTGGTCCCTTTTATCAGAGTGGCGCTGGCTATGGCAAAGAGACTGCGACAGCTTTGTCCAGATGGGTCCCTGCATGCAGGTCAGAGGGGGGTTCCATGTGTCAGGAGAGGATGGATATTAGACCCAAAGATTTGTTTGGGTTGGTCCAATTCTAACAAACAATGGCTCCAACCTAGGTTGCCAATGGCTGCAGGGTTTTGTTTGGGGTCCGCCCATCCCTCTGATTTGACATCCTATTGTGAGGAAGAGGACACAAAGGCAAGACAGCACGTTTCTATATTTGCCAAACAGATGTGGCAGCTCAATCACTGCTATGTCAGCAAGGGCTTTGCAGCAGCAGGACATGGCAGATCCTGCTGCTGGGGATTCAGGGGACATTATAATTGGTTCTGGTCAGGGTGGGATTAACAACCCGAGGTTTGTGTTCCAAACACAAAGAACAATCACTTCAAACCATTGTGGAGCACCCCAGAGCCCCTGGATTGCTCATTTCCCCAAGCCCCAGCCACCTATCACCTGCAAAACCATGTCCCTTACGTTGCTGCTTTCCCAGCCAAATGCAACAAGTCAGTTCCTACACCACCACCTCCCCCCTACATGCTACAGTGGGCAGGGCCAGGAGTTAGTTTAGAAAAAGTGCTCGTTTAGATTTCATAAGATCACCACACAGCTGGGAGCTGAAACCACTCAGAGGAAAGGCCAAGTCCAACCTGACATGAAGTGAAGTTCATAGTTACGTTTCCCTCTCAGCACAGCTCACGCTGGAATTCAAGCTTTCCTGTTTCTGAATCCTGACTTGAATCACACTAAGCCATTTAAACCCCGGGCCTCTCTACTGGGTGGTTCAAGACATTGGGAGTAAGTCCCTACTGATCCACTGCAGTGTCTGAATGCTTTTCACTCAGAGGCTGCTAATCGGCTAGCGAATGTCTTCACCGTCTGATATTTGCTACCTGCAGTCCAGCTCTGAGAGGGAAAAGCATCCACATCATGAAGGGCAACATTGCAGTTAGCCCCTCTCAGCAGAGAGGCTGAGGATGAACAGGCAGCAGGGAGCGAAATCTTATCCACTGGGGATTCCATGGGGCAGGTTGAGATGCTGACAGACACAGAAGTGAACCTGTTCTGTGGATAAAGAAGCCCTCACTCTCAGGGCTGTCAACAGGACAACTGTCATAAGCATTAAATTTTAACCACACTTTATGATAAACCTTGTGTTATAGCACGCAGCATGGCAAGAAAGTCACGGCAACGAAACGCTGGTGATACTCAGCCCTTTCATGTGCCTTCCATCAGTAGCTCTCAAAGTGCTTAACAAAGGCATGCAGGCACCACGGTCCGCACTTT